ATCGTTAACCTGGTTTCAGCTTAGTCCAGTTTAAGCCAGTTCTGATAGACTTAAGAAAAGACCAATAGGGCTATGTATTGCAATCCATCACTTCCAAGTCTCTTACATTATTACCTCATCAAAAGAAAGAAGTATTTTACAAGCTGAGCTAAGCACTAGCCAGTGAAGACAGTATATTCTCATTGTATCTACTTACATAGCATAGTCAGAAAAACCAGGAAAACTTACTCACTTTTCATGCCACACAGTGGAACTGGCGAGCCTGCTTCGCCCTGCAAGTATGCTGCTGCCATCTGTGAAGGCTTCCTCCACTGCGTCAGGCATATGTGCACTGCGGTGTTGGCATGAATATTCGATTGGAGTGTATTCCTTCTAGTGCACAACTTGGCACAATAATGTCAAGTTTTGTGACTAGTCTCTCTTGAGTCTAGGATTAAACTTACATACTCTTCCTGAATGTTGGTCCTATAACATTTCTTCTGATCAAAATAGTCTGCTAGTTAGATTTCAGTTGGCCAGAAATTGGAAGGAGGACAGGGAGCAATGAATGTGCTATGTCAACAAAAGCAGTCTCAAACAGGACTTCTTGTATAATAGAATCTTAGAATCATTTAGGTTGGAAAAGACCTTTAAGATCATCGAGTCCAACTGCTAACCTAGCACTGCCAAGCCCACAACTAAACCATGTCCCTAAGTGCCACATCTACACGTCTTTTAAATACCTCCAGGGACAGAGACTCAACCACTTCCCTGGGCAGCCTGTTCCAATGCTTGACAACCCTTTCGGTCAAGAAATTTTTCCTAATAGCCAGTCTAAACCTCCCCTGGCACAACTTGAGGCTGTTTCCCCTTGTCCTATCACCTGTTACTTGGGAGAAGTCTGAGACAGACCTCACGGCAACCTCCTTTCAGGTAGCTCTAGCAAGTGATAAGGTCTCCCCTCAGCCTCCTCTTCTCCAGGCTAAACAACCCCAGTTCCCTCAGCTGCTCCTCATATGACTTGTGCTCTAGACCCTTCCCCAGCTTTGTTGCCTTTCTTTGGGCACACTCCACACTTCACTGTCTTGTAGTGAGGGGCCCAAAACTGAACACAGGATTCAAGATGCAGCTTCACCAGTGCTGAGTACAGGGGGACAATCACTGCTCTAGTCCTGCTGGCCATATTATTTCTGATACCAGCCAGGATGCTATTGGCCCTCTGGACCACTTGGGCACACTGCTGGGTCATACTCATCTGCCTGTTGGCCAACATCCCCAGGTCCTTTTCTGCCAGGCAGCTTTCAAGCCACTCTTCCCCGAACCACTAGCGTTGCATGGGGTTGTTGTGATTCAAGTGCAGGACCCAGCATTGACCCTTGTTGAATCTCATCCAACTGGTCTCAGCCCATCCAGGTCCTTCTGTAGAGCCTTCCCACCCTCAAGCAGATCAACACTCCTGCCCAGCTTGGTGTCATCTGCAAACCTTACTGAGGGTACACTCGATCCCCTCATCCAGATCATTGATAAAGATATTAAACAGAACAGCTTCTCCAGGAGAATGCTGTGTCAAAGGCTTTACTAAAGTCTGGGTAGACAACACCCACAGCCTGTCCCTCCACTAAGTGGGTCACCTTGTCATAGAAGAAGATCAGGTTAGACAAGCAGGACCTGCCTTTCACAAACCCATGCTGACTGGGCCTGATCACCTCATTGTCCTGTATGTGCAACTTGATGGCACTCGAGATGAGCTGCTCCATAACTTTCCCTAGCACCAGGGTCAGACTGACACACTTGTAGTTCCCCAGATCCTCCTTCTGGCCCTTCCTGTAGATGGACATCACAACATGCTAACTTCCAGTCAGCTGGGAAACTATTGTGTTTTATGGCAGTAGCCAGATTAAGTTCTAGTTGGGCTTTGGCCCTTCTAATTTTCTCTCTACATAACCTCATGACATCCTTCTAGTCCTCCTGAGTTGCCTGCCCCTTCTTCCAGAGGTCATAAACTCTCCTTTTTTTCTTGAGTTCCAGACAAAGCTCTTTGTTCAGCCAGGCTGGTGGTCTTCCCCACCAACTTGTCTTTCAGTACATGGGGTCGGCCTGCTCCTGTGCCTGCAAGATTTCCTTCTTGAAGAATGTCCAGCCTTCCTGGACTCCTTTTGTCCTTCAGGACTGCCTCCCAAGGGACTCTGTCAACCAGTCTCCTAAACAGGCCAAAGTCTGCTCTCCAGAATGCCAAGGTAGCAGTTCTACTAACCCCCTCTCCTTCTCCAAGAAGCAAAAACTGTTGTTTTGTGATTGCTGTGCCTCTGATGGCCTCCAACCATCACATCACCCACAAGTCCTCTGTTCACAAACAACCACTCCAGCGGGGCCCCTTCCTTAGTTGACTCACCCACCAGCTGTGTCAGGAAGTTCTCTTCCACACACTCCAGGAACCTCCGAGACCGTTTCATCTCTGCTGTATTGCCTTTCCAGCAGACATCTGGTAAATTGAAGTCCCCCACGAGAACCAGGACTAGCAATTGTGAGACTTGTCCCAGCTGCTTGTAGGATATTTCATCTGCCTCTTCATCCTCGTTGGGTGGTCTATAACAGACTCCCACCATGATATCTGCCTTGTTGGACTTCCCCCTGATTCTCACCCATAAACACTCAACCCTGTCGTCACCATCCTTAAGCTCTAGACAATCAAAACACTCCCTAACATACTGGGCTCTCTCCTTCCTTGCCTGTCCCTTCTGAAGAATTTACAGCCATACATGACTGTACAGCACTCCAGTTGTGTGAGTCTTCCCACCACGTTTCAGTGGTGGTGACTGTATCATAGTTTTCCTGCTGCACAGTGGCTTCCAGCTCCTCCTGGATGCTGCCCGTGCTGCTTGCATTGGTGTAGGTGCACTTCGGAGGGGCCATTGATCCTGCCACCTTTTGGGGGGTAAAGTAACCAAGTTGCTATGGAAATGTTTCACAGCTGTATGTAATCCATGTGTACAGAGAGGTAAGATACCACTGTCTGAGAGATGTTGTGCATATATCTTGCTCTGGGATGCAGATTTTTGGTTTCTAAGCCTAAAGTAAATTTAATATAAATATTTATATTTATTCATTGATATTCGGCTTATTCTTAATTCATTTGCATGCCTACCATGAGCCAGAGTAATATATAAATGATAACTGTGAGGTTTGTTGGACTGAATATGGTCCTTATCCCAGACTTCTGGACTCATTAGAAAGATTTCTCTGTCTTTTACAGTCACTGAGGCACTGGGTTATATCCTGAATTGTTTAGTTAAGAGGAAAACCCCAATGGATGTTATTCTCATATTCCGAAGTAGCATTATATCGTATCATGGCTGTTAAATTTTTACTGGGTTTTGGGTGTTTTGAAAGGTAAAAATATGCAGATAGTTCAAATTATTTTTGAGTTTAAATTGCTATTCCTCTATAGTTCTATTACAGGAACAAGCCACTGCAGCTCTGAAAACCCAGTGATTTACTAGTGATATCTTTACAGTGAGGGTACAGATAAGACAATGATGCTAAGTTTCAGACTTGAATATTTTTATATTCTATTAATAAATTGCAATTTTGGATGTGGTCATTGGAGTGTGAGAAATTATTGTTTATTCTCTCTCTATGCCTTCATCTGCAAATTGCTTAACAGCACAAATAAATGTTACATAAATGTTAAGGTTTTCTTTAAAGCAGTAGAAGCAGTGTAAAAAGAAGGTAATAGTGAAAGGCTTTCATTTGTGGTTTTAGACCTGTTAAGATCCTGTTTCATTACCAGGTTAGATTTGCTGTAACATGCCAATTCTGTTCACAGCCTTTTAAGTTTTAGTGTATTTTAGTATCATCAAGTTAGGCTAAGAAATCAGTTCTGTTGAAGAGAAAACAGCTTCTGATTGTCTTACATGATTAGAATTGGATGGCCGATTCTGTTACTCTCTATAGCCCCAAGACCCAGTCCTCTGATGGACATTGCCACCCACAGGGCAGTGACACTGGATCTGCTTATGTACGAAGTCCTAAACCTTAGCAGCTTTCAGTCTGCATATTAACCAACCAGATGCCTGAGAGTGGTAGCAGAGAGCACTCTGATTTCAATCCCCATTCACAAACACTTCAGAGATGGTGTATGTGAAGGTAGGTTTATACACAGTGCCAGGAAACTGCCTGGTGTGTGCTGAGCTAGACTTGTCTGACTGTGCTAAAGTATAACAGTAAGTCTGAGGTAGTATGTCCTGCTTCTCGGCACTCTAAAAAAAGGGTAAGAATGTTGGCTTGGGAGAGTGAGCAGCTCACCTGAATATCTGACATTGTGACCCATGGCAGCTCTTAACCAAAGGCAAGCTGGGTTCACTAACAACTACATGCTTGTGTGACTTGGTGTGTTGGTCTTGACCAAACTGGTCTTCATCAGCTGTTTCTTACAAGTTTGTGGAATCAATAAGAGAATAAAGTCTTGGGTTCAGCAACCCTTGATTTCTACTACTGGCGCATGCTCAGCAGGATGTTGTAAAGATAAAAAGATTTCAGGAAGCTGTTTCAGCATGTGGGCAGTACAACTCATCTGTCTGTAAGAAACTACACTGACATGTTTTTTCTCCATCTGGGGGATATTATGATGATTAGAAATTTTTTCACCAGTAGCCAACAAACAAAATTTGCAGCTGGCAAAACCAACAGTTTATTCAGCTGGTATGGATTTGTTTTTTCTCTCATTTCCCTCCTCTGTGTTAAACTTCAAGAAGTAAATTAATACTGGCATTGAGGCCAGTCCAAAACATATGGTATTTCAGTCCTACTTGGTTAACTTTGATCACTTACGTAAAAACGAAATAATTCTTGTTTGGTGTAGGACTGGTTTGCTAGGAGGGTGTAAATGTATTTTTGATTATCAAAGACCTTTGTCATCCCAAATTGATACATCCAAAGACATTTTTCTTTCTTTTATGGCTATTTGTGTTTTTACTGCTTGAGTTTGTTTCCATCTTAGCAAAATGAGGAAGAATCAAAAGTCTCTTGATCTAAATCTTTTATTTGTACTGGACTGAAAAGGTATTGAATTGATTATATGACAATCAGTACCTGACAGGTGTAACATCTCTTTCTAATGCCCTTTATGTGATGTTTCTTAATGTAAAAAAATAGTATAACAAAAGGAAAGAGAATTCGGGACTTTGGCTTACCTTCTTTTCTTGTTAAAGAAGGTGAAAAGTTCAATTGTCACAGGTGAACTGAGATTACATCCTGCAGCTAGAGAGAATGTAAAGAGAATTTTAAAGAAACCTTTAAAAAAAGTCTTACATAGTATTATCAATTCCTATATAAAATAATTTCATATTTTAAATACTGTTTAAATAATTTATCTATATTTAAAACTAACCTTTTAAAATTTTATGTTTGGAACTTTTTTGGCATTATCACTTAAATAAAATTTTGAAAATATTAAATAGTTTTTAAAATATTCAATACAATTCAATATAAAACCAGAAAAAGTAATATACATTGTTCACACATAGTATTGTACATGACAGCTGAGCTCTGGACTGAGCGTTTGAATTTGTCAGGCAAGTCATAGTTTAGTTGTGGTGAACCACGTGCTTATCCTCTCTCCGGACTCTTAAGATCATAACAGATCCTTACCATCAATATGTACTCTTTAATATTATATACACATACTGTATACAGTATTTAATTTCCATATGTATGCCCAGAATTGTAAATATTTTTTTCCCAGCATTTAGATCAAAATATTGTTTAACGCATACACAAATATATTTAAGATGCACACAGTTTGACAAGAAACGTATCAATTTTGCTCAGCTCAGTTATAGGAAAGTTTAACTCATAGGTGCAAAACGTAAATGAGAAATTGTCACTGTTGTATTTAAAATTTATAATAATCTTATTACCAAATGTTTACAGGTTGTGTTAACAGTAAGAAAATCAGGATTTGTCCCCTTGGTGCATTTTCATTAATCCTGCCAAAAATAAAGGCAGTAGTGTAGGCATGATGCTGGTGTCTTAGAGCTACTTTGTCTAACACCTGGTACTCACTGACAATATTACAAACCTTGACAGTATTACAAAGTCAGTACTACAGACTTCGGCAGGACTTCACTGAAGGCCAAATACCAGTCTCAAGTTTTTAAGTGTAGGCATGTCTGTCACTGATAATGAAGTTTACTGTCAGACTGTAAATTGCTTTCTCCATCCTTCTGTAAAGAACTCCTGTATTTAGCGAGATGATTTCTACAGACACTGTAAATGTAAATTTCTGATGAAGAGTTACTTTCATTATTCCTATATTACATGTGTTATGTATTATGATTGCAGTAGTTGTGATCCATTGTACAAGGTAGTCCCCCAAAGTCTTAATTTCTTCTTGAAAAATTCTTCTCCTAGAGGACCCCAAAACTTTACAAACACTTAAGTGGAACATTCTGTGTAGCCACTTAGGCCTACTTGCAGAAGGAAAACAATACCAGAGCAAATCAACGTTCGTGTCAGGAAGCCTAGGCTAGAAACATCACTCAGAAAAGCAGCACATGCCACGTGATATGATATTCAAAAATGAACAAAACTCACATTTCAGATTTTGGACTCAGTTTCCTATTTATATGTAATATACACAGTAGAAACTATTTGCAGGAATTACTGCATGGATAATTCTTAATAGTTGTTCCTGAATACATAACTTCTTCACAGATAACTCCGAAACATTGTTTCGAGATGAGCTTTCAAGAAGGATTTGAATGCGTTGCTCACATCTTTGCAGTGTGAGATTCTGAATGAACCTTCAAGAAGACAGAATACACAAACTGTGAGAAATACCCTGCCTTCCTTTCACTCCTCCTGCCCTTTTCTCTGGCATGAAAGTGCTTGAGCAAGGTGTTCACTCAGGTGGTGGACTGTACCTGTGTTGACTCTGGTCTTGGTTTACATGAAATTTGATTCTCCTGCTTTCAGAGGAACGGACTCTGAAAAGGAAATTGTTACCTAGGGAGAATAAGCATGTCAGTCACTTTATTTTAATCCAGTTTAAGAAATAAACAGAGGCCCTGAGTTTATTTCACAGTTAAAACACAGTACAACATAGGCCTCCATTTGTGTTGCTGAAGACCTCAGCCAGAAAGTCAGGATTTTGTAGGATAAAGCAAGCAGTCAATGCCAAAGTAATCATTCCTCACATCTTTTACCATTTATATCACTGGTCAGGAATACTGGTGTGCCAGCAGGGCACTAATTCTCAGCTGTTTTGTACATACAAAGTTTCAGGTCCTTGTTTTCTCAACTAAGTCCTTTTCAATAAGACACTGAAGTCACATGAAAACTAAACATATTTTGATGGGATAATTTCAGAATCAGATATAACATAAAGTGATGAACTATTGATTTTGCCTTTGCAAATGTCTGTCTAGACTTAAGAGAATCTGTATTTAAGTCTTAACATTCCCTTTGATGTATATGCAGTGTGTATACATAAATATATATTAATACAGTTCATAGTTTATATCAGACCCAAGAAAGCTTTATTATTCATTAGTGCTCTTCAGATGATAAACTGAGCAGAAATGGTGCTGTTTTCTTTTAAAGACATGTTATGTTGACTTAACAGAAAGAGGTCTATAAAAGGCTAAGCATTCAACAGATCAAACATTTAGTTTTTAAATTAAAACCTTGATCTCAGGATTTAATGTCTTCTATGTCTTCTCTTTTCTTTAGAACTTTAGATTCTTCATTTATACTTAAGCCTGTATAAGACACTGAGTTCCTTTTTCCACACTGGAATACAGTAAAGAGACAAGTGTGTGTATTTTTTTCTTTTTTTTTTTTTTTTTTCTTTTTTTAAGCAAGTGAGGATAAAGGCATCATAAATCCTTCCTTTTTTTTTTTTTTTTTTTTTGATAGTTAAAAAGGTCACCAGTTAAAAGAATGTCTTTCAGGGGGGAAGGAACAAGTAGTAAACACTGCAAAAATTACTGTGAAGCCTGTTTAAGAATTCAGGCCAAATTTCTAGGTCAAATACAGAAAGATAGAGAAGGACAAGTTATGTGGTGTATCATCTTAACTTTCAGGTTTCTGGTGTCTCAGATAAATTCAGAATCCTGTGAAGTCACATATGCTCTATCTAAAATGCATGGAGGCAGTTACAGTTTGACTGGCTATGAGTGAGCTGGAGACCTACATATCACAACTCAATAAGAAGCAGTAACTGAAAAGCAAACTATTTTTCCCTTTTCTCTCTGCTGTTTGAGCTTACATCTATTTGGATTTAATCTTCTCTTAAACAGAAATGTTTACGATCACTCATTCAAATAGTCAAGATGGACCACCTTCTGTATTTTACAACAAAGCCTGGAAGAAGTGACGTTGCTGGCATTGCCTACCTGTTGTTTTGTAATAGCCAGTTCAAAAACGTGTAAGAGATGGTGGTGCAATACCCTGTCATTCTGAAGGGACTCGCAGCCACTTCACATCTCCCACAGAAGAGTGTTCAGAGGAGCTGCACACAGGCAGCCTGGGGAGAAACCCTTGGCTTCCCTTCTGAAATGGTGCCACTCTTCCAAAAGGAACTCAGGACCAGAGAGGGGGATAAAAGAAAGTGGACAATGAGAAGCAGTATACTCATTAAAAACAAGCGATCAAACAAAAACACACATATTTGCTACATATCATACTTCAGAGAATCAGATTGTAGTTAGGAGTTAAGCAAAATCTTTAGACACAGCCTCTACAAAGTTTGGCGCTGACATTAAAATGCCAATTGTACAAATGATTGTGAAGACTGAAAAAGCCATCAAGCAGAGCCGATCCACTACAGAGGCTGCAAACTTCCATTCATTGCAAATGGCTTCCTCTTCATCCTGGTCTCTGAACCGGTTTGCAATGTACCTGACCTCTTCCAAGATCTTGGCCAAATCTGGGTCACCTTCAGAGGGGTGGCCACTGTGCAGCAGGTTTTCTTCATCTGTTGGTGAGCAGGTCATCCTCCCACAGATCACCCCTGAATCAGTGGTAGGTGTGCAGTGAACCCCTTCCAGACCCCTAAACCCAATATATAGCATATTCCCATTACTGGATTGCTGTCCACTCACAGTGTTCATCTCCACACTTGATAGGCTACATCGACGCTGTTTATGTTGACAGGCAGGACGCACTTTATCTTCCCCTGGTCTTTTCATCCTCAGAAACCAAGCACACCAGTTGAGAAGGATGATTCTTGTCTGAAAGAAAATTTTTGAGAATAAACATCTCTTCACATAGCCACTGTATTTGGGCGCTATAGGTATCTTTGCAGCCTGGGTGACTGTTTGGTCCATGGTCTCTGCTTAGTTGGCAGAGGAGCTCTAGAAAATTGTGCTAGAGTTTTAAAACTGATTAATTTCCCAATCACTGAGGCTGCTTTCTTATTCTAGCAGCGCTGTTGATTGCCTCAGGCTGACTATCACTACTGGGAGTCCCCCACTCCTCTGATGGGAGTCTCCATAGTGCTGATTTTCCTTATACTTGAGCAGCGATATGGCAGCCTTTTCTACCTTTACTAAAAACCATGAATTAAAAAACAAAACAAAACACTTACTGAAGAAGAGTTACTTTTTAATAGTCTTAGTAGCATTGCTTTAGACTGTAGTTAATAAATTACAATTCTTTCATTCATACTTGTGCTCTAATATTAAATTCACATGACATTTCTCCTTGGAGAGGGCTGCTAAAACAGATGCTATACTGGACTGGACTGGACCACCAAGCTTTACAATGTTTTGGCTTTGTTCTCACATGGCTTTCATGACAGTTGATTGGAGATTTTAGAAAACATATCTGGATATAGCATGGAGAAAAGATGGAAAAATTACTTTGATTAAAAAAAAATACTTTGCAAATTTAATCAGTGTGTATAATTTTATTTTCTACATTGCCTTAAACCAGCCTTACAGAAAGTACAGACAAGCCAGAGACTGTTCCAGTTCAGATGCAAGCTTCTGTAATTTATTTCAATCAGATTTAAGAGCTCATTCCAGTGTTTCTTTTCCAGAGCACTAATGAAATATTATTGTCTCATATAATATGCAAATCTTACACTGTAATTAATATTAGATTTGGTCCATTTATTCTGACTGTGAATTGCCACTCAGAGTAGATATTATATCCAGGCAAACATCCCAGCCAGAGGCAGATCTTGCCTTGTCACTCTATTTACACTATCACGCTTCTCCTGGAAGGATAATGATATATTAATTGAGGGCCTGATCCAAAATCCACCCATATCCAAATAATGTTTAATGGACTTTAGCTTCTTGACACTAAAATTCACTCCTCTACCTCAAGTACTCTGTTTTCTGAGGATGTTTGGGTCAGTACTAAACATTTGTCCACTTTAGGTCATCAAACATGCATCTAAAGATATATAACTTTTATTCTCTTAATTCAAAGTTATTTTAAAATCACTACCCCAGAATGGGCCAGGGAATATCTCATTATCTCTTGTCCACAGGGCACTGCTGTATGCACATTCTTTTTGGCTAGTAAGGATAATAGTAACTCATTGTTCGAGAGAGAGAAAAAAATAAAGGGCTCTCCATCTTCAGTAATGCCTGATGCTGACATTAGCTGGGTGAAGTCTGGAAGAGTGGACAGTTAGCTGACGATACTCATCAATATTTAGTTACCCAGTATCAAAGTAATGTTCTCTGTAAAAACAACCACTCATAGAAGTACATTATAAAGTCTTATGTGCTTAGAAAAAGACTTTAATTTTTCTTTGCATTTTACGGATGTTCTTGACCACAGATGTAAAGATGAGGATTTTGAGAGCAAGTTTCAATTCCACTTTAACAGCCATCTTTAACAAGTGCTTTTTAGACTATTGATGTTTCTGTATGCACAGTATCTAAATACGTAGCAGCTGCACATTGCACCTTGAGGATTGTGTACTTTATGCATTTATAATCTCCATAAGCACCTTACTCTTTCCTTCTACGTGTTTCACTTTTGACATCTGCAGCTTACTTGAAAATCACCTTAATTTATATTTAGGTTTTAGCAAAATTCTGAGGTGCTTCTAGCTGTTTTGAAGGAGATTCTGGATATAGAAACAAGATGAGGTATATTCATTCTCTCTCTTGCATGCACACAGTCTCTAAGAAGCCAACCACACAAAATCTATCTGGACATCTCATTTCTGGTGAGACTACTTCACAAAACAAAACGTTTAGGATTTGTATGTTTTTAACAGAAAGAAGTAAACATGGGTCACTAGCTACTCTGTCACACCCCTGATCTGCACATTTATTCAATGGATAATGAATGAAAATCAAACCTTACCCATTTAGGCATTTTCCCCCCATCTGGATCATGATGATGGTATTGTAGAACAATAACAGTGACAACAACAGAAAGACCAACAATAATCATAGTGCTGGCAAAATACTGAGCTGCAAAATAAACAGATAAATACAGCAATATACTTCAGCTGATATTGCTTTGTAGCTATTATAAGGGGTGTTTATATACATGCATACGTAGTATTCTTTTCCAGTGCAGTGATACATGTTCTACTTTAGGTACTTGTGATAGATTTCTCAAAAGCAGAAAGAGCAGCCATTAGTAATTGTAGTAGCCAGCCTTTAGTAATTGTCGGAACTAAGCACCTGCCGTTTCTAAGAAACCTTGGAAAAAAAGTCCTCTAATTTTCTTTCACCAGTATTTTAGAGACTGGCTAATACTTATTTTGAAAAGTTTCTCTTTCTGTTTGAGCAATTACAATGGGAAGATTTAATCATATTTAGTTCTGTATTCCTAATGTCTGACCAATTGTGTGGAAACTGCAACTACTTCTTCTGTGGAAAACTGACTCCCTTACGTCTTCCCAAAATACACAATAGGTTCTATGTTTTGTTTAGAGCAGAGAGCACGGAAGTTGTAAAGGAGATCACATCCATCAGATCTTCTCATCAACTGGCAAGATTTGTCTAACTCAACTGCAGTAGGCCATTGTACAGGTGGTAATTTGCCTTATTCCTGGCCTTCATTCAAATTCACTGCACCTCATTTGACAAAAAATAAAAGTGAGTAAAAGCTGTAGTTAGCTTACCGATTAAAGGCACAGAATCAGATGTTGCTGGCATAATTTCAGCTACGAGTAACATGAAGACAGTGAGAGACAATAAAACTGTTATACCTGAAAGATAAGATTTCATAAAGATATGAAATTAGATCAGTAGCTTGTAATTACAAGGCATTAAGAAGCAGAAAATGCAGCTGAAGGAGTGCTCTTTGCAAGGTGCAGTCCCACTCTTGCCCACATTAGTGCTACTCCTATCCTTTCTTGTAATACCTCAAGTTCAGGGTAGCAGTGTTGCCAAACTAGTACCAATGCTTGCACAGACGTATATATTTTTATATCCTTGTAACTGTTTGGCTTTTATGACCATTTGCTAATTAGGTGAGGTGAATCAAAATAATTGTTGCTGCTTGTTTGCTTTAGAAACATGGTGTGATTTTGAGTAGTTGAGCATATGACACTTAATTGGTATGGAAACTACAGGTGGTATAATGCATAATATTCCTGAAAAACAGATTTGCTGTCTTGGATAGACTTTGATATCTTTTGATAATAGCTGTTGGGTTCTGCAAGTGGCTATGCCCAAGCAGTCTTGACTGTTGATTTTTGGAGTTTGACTTCTGTTGATCAGTGATGAGTTCCCATATTTTCTCAGGCCTAGTCTTAAACAATGAGTCATTATAAGGTGGAAAAGGATTTAGGAACAAATAATTAATCTTATAATATGGGGAGGGATTTCCTGATTAGGAAGGCTACTACTCAATTAAACCACACTCTGGAGAAATGTCAGGTTTGTTTCTACCTTTTAACAGCTATGTTCACTTAGTAGAAGTCAGTCCATTTGCAATTTTTTATGGGGCAAAAAGTTTCATTACATAATTAACCTCCATCTTAATGATCAAGTACTTAAAGTCACCAGATTTGTTTCACAAACCAACACTTTAGTTAAAATTTGCTATGAAAATTAGAATAATACCAGTTAGAATCAATCTTTCTAAGAAGGCACATTAGGCTCCTAATACAACTTGCTATTAAAAGGAAATATCAAGAAGAATTCCATGTTAAAGTGTTCAAATGCTTATTTGTAAACAAGCTTCACTCAGTGAATCTAGGATTTTTCTTTAGCAAATAAATGTCAAAGAATGAAACACTGCTTCTTAAGAAAGGTAGTCAGGAATTGTGCTTATGCTTGATTGGCTGGAATTTCTCCGTTTCTCAACTTCAGTGTACTCTAAGCTGAGAGTAAGGGTTAAACATCACACAGCTTCAGCATCAAACAGTAAAAATAGCTCATGAGCCAGAATAGGACACACAAACTATTCCTCCTTGCCTATGACTGCTTTAAAAAACTTTTTAAAGGACAACTTCCTTTGGCTTGTTCATATTTACAATATCCTATTAAGGATTTACCTAGTGAGATCTTTTCTCCTGAGTCTGCTGGAAGCAGAAAAACTAACAATGCAAGTGCCGATATCAGTACACAAGGAATAAGAAGATTGAGTCCATAATAGAGAGTTCTACGTCTCATAGTTACTGTGAATGTTACATCTGGGTAAGGTTCTTTACAACATTCATAAAAACTCTCAGTTCTCTTCCCAGGAATTCCTGTGTAGGAGGGAAAAGGAAGAAAACCAGAAATTAATGTGAATAAACTACATATTATGTAGTGATTATTTTAAAAAAGGATAAGTGTAGCTTTCTAAGTTTAGGTAAAGCTACTTCTTTAAGCTTAATTCCCAATTAAGTCGTTTTTGTCAGATAATAAAGCAAAATCAGATAGAGATACTTAATGAACTCAAACAGCAATTTTGTCACCTACTTTTTTAAGTTGATTTTCATCTTACATCTTTTCTCAGAGTTTCAAATGCCACTAGCTAGGACATTTATTAATTTAATTTCTGTCTTCATTTCCCAATCATTATTCCATCCATTTCAGCAGTGGAGACAAGCCTGCAAGTTCACAGTGTAAATAAGAAATCAAGAGCATACCTACTAAATCCCACTCTCCATTTGAAATATAGCCAGATATATCCGCTTCTTGCATTTGTAAGTCCAAGGACCAGCCTCCGTAAGTCCAGGATCCAAACTTCAGGTTACACTTCTGAACATCAAATGGAAACCAGCGCACATCTATGTAGCATGAGCTTTTAAATATGCCTAGATTGGATTTTAAACAAAACCACTTAATTTAAATGCTTGTTCCAGGTAATTCCATGTGCATTTTGTAACTAGACCATGTTCTACATTGTACACTCTGTTTTTGACTTGTAAAGCATATTTAATCTCAGTTGTGTATTGACAGGTAAATAGCAGAAATCAGTCACAGAAAAGGGAAAGAACTGCACCGTTAATGTATTGATGTTATAAACTAGTTCTTGAACTACATTTCCATTTTGGCACATAGTAGGAGAATATTTAGAGGAGACCTTATATTTCTAGATACTGCATTTCAGAAACAAGTGAAGCAGAATATGCAATCTATTTCTGCTATTTCTTTTACTGAATAAAACAAGAAATCCTGAAAGATTATTTGCTGTCTTACTAGATTTACATGATCTTGATTTATTCAGGAAAGCTAGCTTTTTATTTTTCACTTGTTGAGTCAGGCCCTGAAATTTATCAGCTTTCAGAACTGAATTGAAAACTCCTACCACATGGAACATCTTAAATCAAAAGAACAACAGGCAAACCCCTGAAATCCTCTGGGGATTTTAGATGGAAAAACTAATTTGTTTGGAAAGCACTTGGCTCTATTGCTACAGTTTCTAAAATTCTGATTCTGGAAGAGTTAATTCTAAGAATTATGCTAACTGAGTTTGGGAACAGAAACAGTACTCCACTGCTATACATCCAGAGAGTGATATGTTTCTGAAATCAAATAAATATAATACACAGACTACTTTCAGACTAAAAATTGTGATGAAGCATTGAGTGAATCATTTCAAATAAAAGATACAATGAAGATGTTACCAAGCATCTTATTGTAAAGTTAACATATTAGTAGAAGAAACACCTAAATTAATTAAATAAATTCTGATTAAGAGGCATTACCATGGGTTTAAAAAACACTATCTTTTTACTTTAAGGGCTTTCATTTTTTATCTTCTTTTGTATGTCCACACTTCTGAAATAGTGCATTATGACAGAATAATTTACATATTTGCAGTTAAAAATCTGTCTTCTGTGGTGGTTTTTATACAAAAATGTTAACCATGTAATTCATGATTCATGTAGGCTTAAATCTATCAGAAGATGCTAGCTAGCCTAAGTGTCAGAGAACTGATGTCAAATTTGAAACCATACCATACATAAATAGTCTGAGTTATCAGAATTTATGACATGAAAACAGCCTACCTGGTGGCAGATATTGGCAATGTCCTGAAGAATTGACTAAAACATTAGTGTGAAATGTAGCATCAAATCTTTCATCAGCACTAGAACAGGGAAGAAACAAAATGGGTTATATGCTCTTTGGCTGGCTGAAGAGTATCTGAGACTAATCCATTCTTCATAAAAGGATTATTTCTCCCCCAAAACTTGACAGCTTTTCTCCTGTCACCAATTTTCTGTGGTCTCAGAGTAACTGGCCTGAAACTGCTGGATTTGTTCCTGATTAACTACTGTAAGTGAAGGTGAGCCACCTCATTCTTGCTGCTCACCTATCCCACTGCATTCATTACAGTGCCTTGGTTCTGTTCATCTCCGTTTGGAAAGGAAGCACTTCTTAAAAACTTCTCAGATAACTACAGGGAAATCTGTTCTCTTGCTCTCTACATTAACAGCAGCTAAGAAGTACTGAGGAGATGGATACTCCAGTGTCTCATCCTACCCTTTGCATGGGTGAATGTTATTACTACATGTCATCCATAAAACTGTTTAATGCATCTCTACCCTTCATTATCTTCTCTCAAACGCACAAACTTGGTTCAGCAAAAAACAGAAATCCTATTAGAGGTGTCAATGTAATGGTGCTGGCCTGGACTGCTCTGGTGTGCCATTCTTACACGTCTCTAGAAAAGCATCATAATGTTACTTGGAGAGTGCTTCAAATTACGAATTGGCAGCTACTGCTAAGGAATCTCACAACTACATCTGGCACTATGACCCAGGAATTTACGAGGCATTAACATTTTAAGAACTTCGAGATGGGAAACAACATTTTCAAATATTTAGATAATTAAAAAAAGACTCTTTCCTATGGAAAGTTCATTAAGTTTGCTGACTTAATTCACTCTATGAAAGATGTTTAGAATACTTAGCATTGCAATGTATATATACTCATATAGTATTGTGCCCTATTTCACAGTTCCCATTTACTACTGCAGGCTTTTGTGGTAAGTTATTACAGATTATGATCTATACATCCTTTAAAGTTGGGGACCTAGGAATTCAAGAAATTGTCATAGTTATTGAAATTGGTGCTGAGATTAAATTGCACAGACTGTACTTGGAAGGTACTTTGCATCTCAATAATTTCAGGAACTGCTGTGCTGAGTTCATGTCTGATGGCTGTTGGCCCTGTTTATAGACACAGGCTCCTTTCTTGGGCTTTCATTTGTGCAGAGGATAAGCAAAATGAGACATAGGCTACTGTACTTTGTTGTATTGTTTGTAGTTTCCAGTCCCCTTGTGGGGACGGGTTGGCACACAAGGCAAATACAGCGCCAGCCATTCTGGGGCAGGGCAGGGGAGGTTGCATGAGCCTCAGGGCCTGGCTTCTTGCTGCAGCCTGTGCTTTCATTCATCTAAAAACCTGTGTTGTCTCTAGGTTGATTTGAACATGGCAAGTCTCTGCTGTCTCTTTGCCTATTAGTGGTTTAGTATCTCATAACTTTCTAATCAGCTTCTAAAACATCATCAGAAAGATGCAGTAAGAATCTGAGATGGGGAGAAAGCGAAACAGTCATAATTCTAGCAGAAAATAAAGTATAATAAATGGTGTATTTTTTCCATCAGGAAAACCCTTATTGACATATTATTTCTTAAAAAGAGGCCTTCATTATTTGATCTCTTCTGATGCATATTTTGTATCTCAGAAGCTAAAATAACACAATCATTATTTTAGTCATTGTTACTTTGTATTTTATTTTCCCCTTATGTATTTGAAGAAATTACATTTTTAAAGTATCTGGACTGGTCTGTGAAATGTGCAGGCAAGAAAAAACTAAATCCAAATCATTATTTGACCATCTGGAGTTGCAGTTTTTCCTGTGGTAAGCAGAAGGCTCACAGTGTTGAAAATCTTTGCAACTATTTAATTTGAACTCTGAAGACAAGCAGAAAAGTCTAAATATTGTGTATGTAGCATGAAAGGATTCTAGCACTATAAGGAGAAAAGGCAATTCAGTTCTAAGGCAGTTGAACTAACATAGGCCACTCTCCTTTAGCTTCACAGCTCATGGCTGGATTCTCTGAGTTCGTGTGGCAGCTTCTCTTCCAGTTGGAGCACTAACTGTTCTCCCTCGTTGTCTTGGCTGCCTGTTTTCATGACATTTGTAAGAAACTAGTACTGCTAAGATCTTTACTGATTGCACTGCTAAATTTTGCAGAAATGGATTCAGAGGATATTGTGGAAAGAGGCAGCAAGAAAGATGACACACAAACACATATATTCCCACAGGCGTGCATGTGTACAAGTGCGTAAGTCTCATTTCCTTAGAAAACCAGACTTAAAATCCTGCAACAGGTTTCTATATTAGACATAGACCAGTAGTTGTTTTGACTTGAAATAAATAAGGGCTACATGATGAAACTCGAACAAGTAGTCAAATTTGGAACATAAAAATATCCATGCCACACAAATTGATTCTAAAGTGGAAACCAATGACTAGAAATAAAATCCTTAGCCTTCTAGGCTAGATTTTGCTCTCTTCCCCTTGAGCAGAGGGCAGTTAAGCACCAGAGGATTGCTTCTAAGACCATGCTGCTGTTTCTGGTAATTGGCAAAAATAAAATTTTCAAAATCACACAAGTGATCAAGGAACCTAGGTTTCATTGCCATGTAATTTTGCCTTTCAGAAGACACATTCTTAGAAGAATATCAAGAGGTATTGAGACTCAAATATGTTTTTTTTTTTTCTGAAAAACAAGCATATGTGGTTTTCTACACTGTGTTTCTAGTTGTTTTTTGAAATTCAGTGCTTCAATTGGGAATGCACCAAGTAGCTAAGCCTTTGCTTGATGAGACTTTGGACTCAAATGTAATGATAGAAAATGATTTCTGCTACAATTCTTCTTCAGCATATAACCACTTAAAAGCAGATATTGACTGCAGACCATTGGGATGATAAAGGTGTACCTAGCACATATAATCCCACTGGGACCTATCCAGAGAATCTCAGGTTTAAAAAAATGGAAGAATGAAATTGTTCAAATGACACATAACTACCAGAATTTTTGTTATTCCATGAAGTACTGAACACTGTGGGATCATTTGGAAAATAATACCACCAGAAATGATCACTTTTAATAGGTCTAGTAAAACTAACAAAGTGGAAGACATTGCATGTCACTACATGACACTAAGATAGTCAGTCCTGGAATTTGTACATAGGCTGAGATTTTCTTCCCTCAGAAAAGCTACAGATGAACTGGCCCTGCTCTCTTCACAATAGACTGGTGTAAAATTTAATACATATGCCACAAGTTTTTCAGTACTAGGCTGCAGCAAGATGCATAAGGATTCAAGACATAGTGAAACATGCATTTGCTAAAATCAAAAGTGAATTTATAGTTCATTAATTTTTTGTAACTGCAGATGCATGTCCCTAGTGAAGTGTATAGAAATTAAAAGCATCTATGTCAAAATACCACGTCACTGTTAGAGAACATTGTAACATTCCCAATGCGGTTTCATACAGGAATAAGAATTTGGTTTGAATAGCTTTGCTCTCTGACTAAACTGTGAATAAGATTTTGGATTAAAAATGTTTAAAATGTTCAAACAGAAACACTGTAGAATAATTACTTCATGACCATGCCACAGTTAACAATCTCAAGATTCAAAAACCTGTATTAACAGAAAACTAGTGTCTTCAGTTTTTTCAGGTTATTAAGTTACCCTTTTCATTCTGTAATGTGCTTCAGCTACATGTACTAATTTCTAAAAAAAAATACCCTTTCATTTTGGATATACCTACTTAACTGCTGAAGCATACATCCTCAGACACACTGAAAATCTCTCTCAGGTATGTGATATATGTGAGGAAGAATATTGTCATAATTCATTCTTTGGAAAACCTCTAAACTGCTGTTGTAGAGTACCAATTTTATGGCATACACAGTGTATTAGTCATCAGGAGAATGGAAATGAACGTGTGATTTGTCAGATTCTCCCAAGAATGCTGTCACTTATGGAATCAAGGTAGCTAGGAATAAATGCTCAAGAGAACAAATTTGTATTGAAAAATATATTAAGCAAGATTAATGTTGCAAACATACCTGTCCAGTTTGCATGCTGCTCCATTTTGTGTACAAAGCATTTGAAAGGTTTTTTAGGCTGTGTATGAATGTGTATGGACAACTGAAGCACTAATTGCCGTGCTTAAACCAGAAACAAGAAGTAATCTTGACAGGCAGTTACCGTAAGTATGGTCAACTCTAGTGGAGAACACCTCAAATCATTTAGTATTAATTGTATCTTTGAGAGAAGCACTGCAGCATGCTGTGAGCAAAGCAGTAACAAAGGCCCTAGAGAGAAGTACTCAAGTGGCTGACAAATGCTGTCACTGGATGCTGTTATCACATCATTACAATTCAACAACACCTGTGACAGTGACATTGATCATAAAGGTGATCATCAAATGGCAAAAGGGAGCGTAACTGCAGCTGACATATTGTGTTCTCTAGGTCTTGTTGCAAAAACAAGCAGTCCCTGAAGTGGGGAGGGAGGATCAGGTTGATAAACACAGCAGGGTTGTCTTCTTAATAGATGTATGGCAGAGAAACAGAGGAAAAAAGCCACCAGGAAGATAAAAGATTCATGTCATCTGCATGGACAAAAAAATAATGATGTACCCTGGCTACCACAAAAGAGCCTGTGCAACATGTCCAAAGCAGATGTAAGGTCCTTCTAGTACCTGAGGAACAGCACACAAGCCCACAACTGCAGAAAATGGCAAGTTGTTAAAGAGCTGACAGCTCTCAATGCTTTTATCTTTTTAAACTAAATAAATTTCACAATGGGAACTACCATATAATGGTGCAGCCAAAGAATCTATCAATGTCAGCCAAAGGTTCTGCAGTTGATTGATGGCAATCTGTCTGTTCCTGAAATAAGCCCAACTCATAACAGATATTCTGAAGATGAAGGCAGCAAATGTTGTAGCTATTTTTGTAGCAGAAGAAAGTGACACCAAAACTGGACATGGGAAAATGTGAACATACTGACTGACATTTACCTATTCTGCCTCTAGTTAAACCCAAACTAAAACTAGGCAAGCAGTCAAAAGTCAGATTTGGATTCACCAGTCAACATTTAGACCAAACAAATAATTTAAGGGGAAATTATCACTACCTGTACCTTTAAACACAGTCAGAAAAGTTTAGTTTCCTAGTGATCTCACAAAACCCAGATAGAATTGGTGGTAGTGAGAATGAGATGTTTACAAAGTATTTGCAAATATGACCTTCTATTGTGTAAACAGGAGATTGGTAATTTTCCAATATTCCAAAAACCTGGAAAGTTTTAGAAAAGTAATTCAAAACCTAGGCGTTTTGATGAGATGGTTATGTCATTTGCCTTGCCTTATCTTTGTGACTGGACAGGGTGCTAGATAATCTCATCTAGGCTCCCTTTCCCTTGAAAGTTTGGACCAGTTGATCTTTCAAGGTCCCTTCCAACCTGGGCTATTCTGTGGTTCTGTAATTCTATGATCTCCTCTCCTTCCTCACATGAAAAAAGTGCGTCTACCTGTTATAGAGAAGAATATCTGGCTTCCAAATCAGTCCATCAGGAAAACGGACATTCTTCACTCCGGGGTATTCAGACACGTTCCACTGTAGATAATGATCTGTCCAGTACTAAGACATACACATAAAAAGTAAGTTAGGTCATCTCATCCACTGGTTTACCAGATAGCCTGAAACAGTAGGTGTTCTCCTGTTAAAGAGATAATATCTAGCTTCAGGCAGTGAAATGTTTGGAAAGTGTGAATTAGGCCAGCTAGATCTCAATGGAAAGCATAAAAGTCCCATTTTCAGTTCACACTGCAGTGCACAGAACAGCCTATAAAAGAAGATTTGGGGTGCTTGTGTTTTATTGTTCATGCTGTCTCAAGTGCCAGTTTGGGATAGAACAGATTTTCTTTTACAATTCATACATTAACTTCAGTTAATTTATCTTCATAGACAATTTTGGTTTCTGTTGTTGGAAGTTCTCAGGTTGTAATAACTTGATTATAGACATGGAGTAGAGAAGCCAACAATCACTGCTGACAGGGCAAACAACTGAAATGGCAGAATGGTTAATACAGCGTAGGAGGTCTTAGCAGCTCCTGCAACCTCTGCGCAGTGCTCAGCAGCACTGCAGTCGCACAAGCTCCCTCCCTGCCTGGCACACACTGTGCTGGAGGCATCTGCCCTGGGACTGCCAGTGCTCCTCTCACCAGTCCCTGACTGCCAGTATAGGCAGGGATCTGTCCCAGTCAGACCAAAATAGGGGTTTGCCCTGTGTTTAGCATTGCTAAATCCCAGATGCTGTCACTGAAGCGTATGATCGTGCACAGGCATAAACAAAAGCACTGCCCCAAGCCGCAGGCAGCTGAGTACCCTGGCAGCTCTAGCAAGCTGGTTACCTCCCCGCCTCCTGCGAAACACTAGCATGAGCTACTGTATTTTCCTGAAAATGAGGCTGCACTTCACCCCGACTAAGCAGATGACTTGTCGGGATACAGGGGTGGTTACTGTTGTGTGCAAAAGGTATAGATAAGAAATAAAGTTAATTTTATTTCACAACATTTATTTTTTCTTATAATTTCTATGCTTCGTTATATTGTGCCTCTCTCTATCTCCATATTATGTTATTTACATTAACTTCACATAGCTGCAGGCATCACATAACTTAGGGGAAACTTATCCAGATTTCCAGTGCTGTTACAATGCCAAGTGTTAGTCTTTTAAACTGTAAATCTTGAAACGGGTGAGCCCCTCAACAGTCTAGTGTCCCTTATCAAAATCTCTGATGGACATTAAGGTCAGAAAAAATTTTCCAATGGGTATTGTGGAGGTAATGTTACTGATCATTCTCATGGGGTATTCACATCAAATTGTTCCATTGTAATTCCTTGCATTAATGTCACAGGCAGGTATCAGTTTGATACACCAAACAAGTCTCCACATAGGCGCATGCTGCAGGTATTCAAATTCATTCTTGTACCTCTAGAACAGTGTTTGTAAATGACCATTTTGATGCATGCAACACATCTAATAGCATTCATCACCCATCTTCTGTAAAGCTTTTACTATACAATTTCTTGGCCTGTGCATCTATATTTATCTCATTCAATTTTTACTGTGAATTTGTAGCCCCTTGTCGCCTGGACAAACGATCTGAGTTGTGCATTGCTTTTTCCTTTTGCTTTACAGGTAATAGTTTTTTACAGAAATCTTAAATCAGAATATCTGATCGGCTCTGTTCATAGTTTTTTCTTTTCACTGCCTGCTCCATTCACAGTTCTCTAATTAAACTATGTGTATTGCTCACGCCCATCTATACACAGCTTCTATAAGCTGATCAACTGCTTCTCATATTTTTTTAAAAATTTTACATCCATTTTTACAGTAAATTGTTTTACCTGAACTTCCCAATGGACAAATGTGTCATTCCTTTTTACCACTTCATCTTTTGTGGAATGTAGATATACTGAGATCCTCATGATACCTCTATTTTTTACAAAGTCCATCAATATAAACAAATAGAATGTGTGGGTTTGAGGCATTTAAACCTGTGGGCTCTTGTAGGCAGCTTGCTCTCAGGAGCTGGGAGAGCAGGCCACTGAGCAGTGGCTGCAGGGCTGGGGCTGGCAGGCTGCGGGCAGCTGCGGCAGAGGGGGCTGCCCGCTGCCTTGGCTGTGTGCAGCAGGCTCTCCTGGTCTTTCCATCTGAATTGCATTACAACAATTTATATCAATACAGCCAATAATTTCTTTGTCTGACTTCTTTTAGGAGTTATCATGGCCGATAGGATGTAGCATGGGGTGAAACTGAATGATGTAAAGACAGTCCAAAGAGCGACAGAAAACTTAATATTAAAGTCTCTGTTAGAGCTAATGTTAAGCAGATTGTTGCTCTGTTTAGCTGTGTGTGCGAAGTGCTCATCCGTCCAGCTGGACACGAGCTGCCTCATTTTGTTTTAACTTTAGAGCTACACTCTCCACTGTAGCTGAAGTACATTTGATGCAGATTAAAACAGCCAACAGCTCAGGGTACTTGGGTCAGTATTATTCTGTGTGACTAGGCAAGGCTCCTGCTGTAACTTAGATCAAGTTTAAGATTTTGATACTGAACAGTATTGCCAAGGAGATGGTGGTCAGGATCAAAGAGTCGGCATGTATAGATACTAGATTTATATTCCCCTTTCTCCCAGGTTAGTTTTTTTATTTAAGTATTTCAGTGATGATTACATAAAGTATATTTAAGATACATCGCTGATTATACACACATACATATAAAGAAAGGGAGTAGAGAGGGGAATTCAGAGTAAAACTTATTTCAGACCATTTAGCATAATAAAATGACATATGTTTGCCTTAAGCATGCTTTGAATCTGTCTAGTATACCATTAATAGACAGTTAATACACAGACATCTCTTGTTTTTTTTTTTTTGTAATGTGTAAACAGGCCATGAAGAGTAGCTACATTTTTTGTAGTAAACAAGTGATCTGCTCTTTGCAGTCATAACATGATTCACATACAGTATGTGTTAAGGTGAGTAAATCAAAATAAATACAGAATATATAAAAGAAACAGGAATTTCCTTAAGGAAAAAAAAAAAAAACTAACCCAAAAATAGTATCAAAAAGGACAAGGATGCTGTGGGATAAAAGAGAAAGAAAACAACTGATAGCTTCTTGAGTATGAATTGCCTCTTTTCCTGGTAAGAAATCATAGCAACTGTTGTCATTGTAGCTCAAAGCCAAAAACATATTATATTTGACAGTTTTAATCTTACTGTACAGGCCTGTAAAATAACATGAGCTGAATGCTTCTTCCATGTCAACTTTTCTTTGTGAATAAATGGAATAGCCATGCTATCCTTTGTAGGCCACCAGGATATTTTTTAATTGCTAAGGCCTACTACAGTTCAAGAGAGGTGCTCTATAAAAAAATGTTACAATAAAAGAAAAAAAGAATACTTTTAAACTGAACGAGCTGGTTAAAGAAACTGAAAGGCACAAAGTTTCCACTAAGCAACATGATTATCCTACATAATAAAACTCTCCTGTAAGTCTTTACTTCACCCAAGAAGTTCAGTTTCTCTAATACAGATGGGAATTCAACTAATGGCAAATTCTCATCCTAGCTGCTACAGAATGGGGAAAGCTCCGTGTATCACCCTGTCTTTGTAAAGCACAAACTTACAGTAGAAATGTAGAAAAGTGTAAAATAAAGCTACTGTTTGAAAAATAAACACCCTATGTGAGCAAAACAAACTGAGAAACCAGGAAGAAATATACTGGTCTGAGCTGAGCATTAGGAAACTGAACTGATACTCCAATACCCATTTTAGTCACGTAACTCAGATACAGAATTTAGAGAAATAACATAAAAAACCTCTTATGTTCACAGTTAACTTCTGATGACAACCTATGTTTAAGCAACATTCTGAAGAACGTGGGAACAGTGTGGCCATTTTACTTAAAATTCTCTTGCACTTTCTTAAGGAGATAGACAGCAAAACCAGTAGCATGGCAGAGACATTCAGTTAGGACAGTGGCAGCAGCTCTCAGAGGATAATGAACGTCTTTGGAACAATTTTTCCTATATATCAGAAGAACCATCCGATGATTTTCAGAGTGCTGATCAGAACAGCTATTACAGATGAAATGCATTTCTTGCATGTATAGTTCTCTTTCACTATCAAATTATTTACTACAACATAAAGGATTTGTTGAAATGAGTGATAGGGTACTTGCACCTACAGTTACTCTACCTGGGACTCTTAGGACACCGTTATCTTATGACAGTGAAGAGCTTAGCATGACTAAATCAACTATAGTGAGTTAGTAACTTACTTCGATGTAGTACCTCAAATTCTTAAAAGTTTTCAGAAATACCCGAAACATCAAGACCTAAATCTCAGCCTTGCAGTTTTCCACTCAGCTTAGAGCTTTGTCCGCTACGTAGCAAGATACAGAACAAAAGCTTGACAGTTTCCTAAAATTTAAACCCCTCACCAGATTAAATTCAAAGACCAGAGGGAAAAACCCCATACTTTGTTTCAAAACTTACCATTTGTAGCCAGATGTTTGTTGTTAATACTTGATTCTTTTCATCCTGGGAGGAAGGAGGAGAGGAAGAATAAACAAACCACAGCTTAGTACCATACAGCTAAAACACCACAGGTAAATGTATTTGACTATTATGAAATAGCCAATTGTGCTAAGGTGCCTTTCAAAGCAAAAGGAATCATTGCTTCTAACTTACTGCAACAGAAGTTTTCACAGGTACTTTTTAACATATTTCATATTACCACACTCAATCAAACTGTTTCCTGAGGGTATCCTTCCGCCAGGCCCGGGACTCCTTCTTTAATAATGAATCTCAAAAGGCAAAGCAGATTATAGCAGGGGTTGCCTGTTTCCCCTGTGTTAGGAGCAGCCCTCTCACTGACTAACCTTACACACCAGACTTATGCAAATAGTAGAAAAAATACTGAACAAAGAAAGTGTGACTAAGCTCAGATAATATGTGTTGAGGCCATATTGAGTAGCTTCTTGGCAGGTAAGTAGCACCACTGGTATCAGTGGAACTATACAAAAAGTGTTGTATCAGCTTTACCAGAAAAACATTGTCAAGGCAGAACATTATTATTCTGCCTGGAGTAGTTGCAATTTCAAGGCCTTGCCTCTTGCCTACTGTGACTATTTCATGTAGGCTCAGGTGACACAACAGCCATCTTAATGCCACAGTTAATTAAAGAGTTTAATTCATCACTTCTCAGACACAGGAAAATATTGGTGACCTTATTTCTGTGGAGGTACTGTGTCAGTATCCACCTGGGTTGTGTGAAGCTAATGGAATATACTATATGTGTAATACTGTCTGTATTACACGTGCCCCTAACTGAACGCACAATTCCTGTCCCAACACCACTCAAAGCTTCATTTACAGTCTAAGGGAGTATCATAGCAAGTTTCAGTCACCTGTACAGCAGCAACTATCAGAGTTGCTTGTATGTCTAGATCTCTGAACTTAAATCTGTCAGTGTTGAAATTAAATGTTGTTCCTAAATGCCCAAAAATGGGAGGGAAAAAAAAAAAAAAAAAAAGGTTTAATCACATTTCATTGGGAAAAATAAAAGGCTTTTTTCTTTTTGATGATAGTCTTTACTAAAGGTCAGTACTCTTTACTCTTTTGCTGTTTAGTGGACTTCTAACTGAACAAAAGTCCTGAGAGACCTTTAATTGAAGCCATTTTAGAGCAGTACAATAGTAAAAAGTTACACAGCCTGTAAAATCAAATACAGTGCAAGAGACAATGCCATTTTTAAAGCAAGTGAAGCCTTTTGAGGACCAGCATCAGTAAATGCTATGCCAGCATTACTAGGTCATGTATAATCATAGCTAGATGTACAACATAGAAACAAATAAAAAGATTTTAGGTAAAGATCAATATTATGCATGAATAAAGTCTGCCCTCAAATGCACATTCTCACCTTCCTTTAAAATGAAAATAAAAATAAAAAATATAAAGCACAGACCACAGCTAGTGGTTTAGTACTTTTCCCCTCTATTTTCTATTTAAGGTCATCACCCCCAGGTACCTTAAAGTATCTCAAGTGAGCAACTCATTTAGATGGCATCCTGGGGAAACAGGTCTCTTTAACCCTTTGGTTTCAGGAAGACATTGTTAAACTGCATTGAATTAGCATGCTGAAGGCATTGCTGAAGATTTCAGCCAGGCAAAGCAGTAATTAATTTGCAGTACTAGTTGTTATTCTCTAGCCATACAAAAATTAATTTGGTGCCTCTCTCAACAACCTGCTTGTCGTGTTAGAGCACAACAAAGCTAGTTTGCATGGGATCTTTAATTCATGAATGAAGAAACAATCCTTAAGAGATCATTCCTATCACCATGAACTAAAGTCTATAGACAAGTGTTGCAAATTAAGGACATATAAAACGTAATATATGTTTCTGTTCATCATAGCCATTTTTAGGTCAGATGTAGACACCACCAATGATAAGTTATCATTAAAAGTTCAACAGCATTTTCTCAAAGCTCTGTGTACTGTGTCAGACAAACATAACAAGTTCCTATAACACAATGTCCCATCTATTGCTCCTGAGCAAAGCTGAGAGCACCACTGCTGTGTGGTTTCTGAGCGGGGCAGACAGTAGTTGTGTTGCCTTGCACAGGCATAACTGGCTGCTCAAAGGTGCAGAGCAATTCAGAATCCATTATGTTGTGGGAAGCTTGTTTCAGGACTATTAGCTGAATGGCACATACTCCTGCATGGTTAAATTCTGACTTAAACTCACATTTTATTCCCTGTGTGATCTCTTTCTACACATGAATGGCCCCAGCCTTAGATAAGTGATGTTTCAAAAATTCCCTTTTCAGTAGCAGGAAAAGATTGTACTAAAACTGGAGTGCTGCTGATGCTTAAGCTAATGATACGCCGTGGGGATTTATTTTGAAGCCCTGAGCCCACAGCACAGTCAGACTAACTATTTTAGGAGTACCAGAAAGGAGCTCTACTATCAGCCAGCACACAACACAGACACAGGCTAGAGAGCCGTCACTGAGCAGTCCCCTACAGCAGAGCTGAGGGGGACAGCAAGCTTTTAATCCAGCTGTGCTGCTGGCTGAATGGTTCCGCTGCCTGCCGCTGCCGGGCAGCCAAGTACGTGGCAGAGCCATCACAGGTTTGCCCGCAGGAGACTCCGCAGACATGTTCTGAAAGCCAAGAGTTATTGTGAAGTGAGATCTTTCACTCAGACCTAGCTCAAAGAGGGTATCCTGAGAGTACTGACGCAAAGGTAACTTGTACAGTGAAGACAAGTCCTAAATAAAGATGGCCCATGCTGTTTTCCTGGTGTTTCTGTTATTTTAAGCATTTAGAGCCTGAAGGAGTATATTTGAACAAAATAACTCCCACTTGGATCACTATATTTAAGGTTCCATCAGTGTTTGAATCATAAATCCCATCATTGCTCCTCAGCTATAAAAACTGCTGCATGCTGAAATTTGGTTTATAGTGGTGGGTTTTTTATAGTGTTTGTTGGAGCAAATGGCTTCCAACATTTTAGTCATTATTGGATTGAGTGACCCACCACTAGAGGAAAGATTGTGATTTTAGAGGGTTTGTCCATCTCTATGGTCCCAAGTGAAACTGGTGAAAGGTGGGGAAGGAGACATTCTTCAGGGTTTCTCCCAGCTAGAAAAGTTTTTTGGACACTGTTTTAAGAGCTTTACAGCAAATTGCATTAACACTATTTTTCATCAGTTGTGCAGTACTTCTACATAAAATAATGGGTGGGCTTCAAATGCTTCATAGAACTTCACCAGTTTTTGTCATTTTGCAATATTTTGTAAATACACACAGGAAAAGGGAAAAGTGCTGAGCATGAAAGCAAAGCAGCTCCTACTTCAAACCCCTTCTACTATAAAGGAGCAAAGAAAAAGGACTTCACAGTATATTCTGAGGCACTGGGAAAATTAGTCAGAGAATGAGGCCAGGAACTATATCATGTTGTTTGGTGTGCTTTTTTCCCATACCAGCTACTTTAGGTTACTTGCTGTTCAGAAATACTGGCCAAGCAGCACACCTAACAGAGTTAGGTTTAGTTCCCACAGTGGGAGGTGGGTGTGAGGCTACTTTGGTCTACTTGGCTCATAACTGTAGTCATGTACTGTGAGCACAGATGGCAAATTGCTACTGGACTGTTTATCCCATTATTTTATGGCAGCGTAGTTAACAAAGGGAAAGTCGCTGACATCAGGAAGACCTGAATGGTCCTTCATTCATTTTTGGAGGCAGAGGTAACAATTTCTGGAAGCTTTTCAAAGGGAATTGCACTGTCCATTCTTCCAGTTCCCATCAATGGTTTTGTCCGTCTTTTCAATTTAAACAGTCTATCAGACTGATTGTCTTTGGAAACACAGCATCAGATTCTCACATTATCCTTCCCTTACCCTGTGTTCAACAGAATAGATAAGAGATGAAAATTTGACAATACTTTGTGAAGATCATTAGTCTGGACATTACAAACTTTGTAAGGAACATTCAAGGGATGTCAGCACATCTAGTAACCACACTGGCAAAGCTGTGCAGCAAAAAGCAACGGGAAAAAGAAGTAAAATAAGCCTGCATGCCTATAGACTGCCATGCAACAGTGACGTGCATCACCTAGCAAGAAACACATACTTCCCAGAAGACTTGCACAAAGTGATGTCCTGACTAACATATATTAGCTGTAATTCTTGCACTTCAAATCCAGATTCTTTATTTTTGCATGGTTGAATCTCACATAAATTACAGAAAAAGTAATGCCTATTTGAACTGGGCTTCAATTACCATGAACCTTAATAAAAGAGTTTGTGAAAACACTTTAAGACAGCCCTTGTTACAGGAATAATGCTGGGTTCCTGACTGATACTTTGTAGCAAGACTGAAGTTAATAATTGTAGTCTGAAGTTAAAAATGGGCTGGCAGCCAGTGAGAGACATGTAAGGCACTCCCTATATAGATTTTCACTTTTGATTGCTTGAATGTCACCCTACTGAAACCAGCAGGTTAATCAGTTCATTAGCTCTTATCTCATTGTCTCAGCACTTGATCATTACACATTCTCAACATCTGCTGATCCACAATGTCAAATTACTAGCACCTAATGAAGTTTTTTCCCCACATTATTTAAAACCCTGTTATGTTTAATTTTGGCTTCACACAGCTTGGGGTTTTCTTCCTCTTCCTTTTTAGGGTCATGCACTGAGCTCACTAAACTGTATAAAGTGAAAAAGCCTGAATTCTTATAGGATTAGTACTGAGAGAAATGGGCTGGAGGGTGAGTTAAGCGCTCATAAAATGGCCAGTTGCCAAAAGACTGATGCTATAGCCATACTTTAGGCAGCCATAGTGGCAAGATGAATCTGAGCTTCTCGAAACGTATGGAGAGTAGCAGAGGGGCTGGACTTCTCCATTCCTGCTCATGGTGCTGTGGCACCCCAGCACCCTGTGTGGCCAACCTCTAGGCAAGGCCAGAGCAGCATCATGGGGTCCAGCTTCACCCAACTGGAGCCCATCCGAAAACACCATAGTGACCTTGCAT